GAAGACGGGCGGCGACGGCGGGCGAAAATGGATGAAGGCGATGGCGGGCCAGAAATGAAGAGAGAGAGAGGAGAGTGTGATTTTAATTAGGTTTTGGTGGTTACGTTTGTTTTATAAATATTTAATTATTTTATAAATTAATTTTTATAATATTATTATTAACATTAATTAAATATAAAAAACCTATATCTATATATAAAATATCTGATTTTTGAAACTTAAACCTTAAAATCTGATTTTAGAATTTGAATCTCCAAAAGTAGGGAATTGGGTAATTTTCACATAAAATATTCTTGTAACTAATTAGAACTATAATTTGGGAAAAAATCATAAGTCAAGTATTAAGTTTACACCAAATCAATTTTCAGACATTAAGTTTAAAAATTCAAAAGTCGGGTGTTCATTCAATATTTTAATTTTAAATAATAATATTATCAATTTAAATTAATCTACTCACACCCACCCCCATCAAACAACCGTTCACATCCCATCCCACTCTTACCAGTCATCACTCATTCTTACCATCGTCGACAACTTCTTGAGCGACAAACTAATCGTCACGCAGTAACAACTAAGCATCTTCGACTCGAATAATGGAGATAAAGAGAGAAATATAGTGACCATTGGAAAACGTCAACTAAGCATCGCTGACAAGTGATCATCTTCTTCAGCAACACTTAGCAATGTTAGTAAGATTTAAAACTGATCATTAAAAATCAACCACTAGTGTAATTAACAGAGTACTTACCGAAGCAAATAATTTCAATTTTCACCTTCGAAATCTGACTAATTGAATTTGTGACCAGTTCGGATAACTGGGGTCAAAGCAATCAATGACATATGACCAAATCTCTTGAATTTGAGACCCGTGACCTATGCACTTTGATACGTATTCAATTACATGTAACCTGTGACCTTTGAACATTTATCTATGACCAATGAACATTAATTTGTGATCAATTTTAATTGATCTATGACCTATGGACATTGATCTGTGACAAATTAAATTGGTCCTATAGGCATTGATCCATGATCAATTTTAATTGATATGTGACTTAATTGAATTTGTGACTGGTTCGAATAATCGAGGTCAAATAAATTAATGATATGTGACCGATCTATTGAATTTGTGACCCATGACTTATGCACTATGATACCGGTTACATGTAACCTGTAACCCGTGGATATTGAACTGTGACATGTGAACATTAATCGGTGACCAAATTTAATTGATCTATGACCCGTGGACATTGATCTGTGATCAATTAAGTTGATCTGTGACTTATAGACATTGATATGTGATCAATTTTCATTGATATGTGACTTGTCTACGTTGATATGTGACCTAATTATAGTGACATTTGACATGTGGATATTGATTTGTGACCTACACACTGTGATCTATGACTTATAAACAAATTGTGATTGACCATCACCACCTCTTACCCACTGCCGCCACCACAATCCCAGATGTACTTCAGACCACAGTTATCAGAATCAGATCCACCATCACCACATCCTACACACCCGCACCACAACCACCTGTAAACATTAATCCACAGTTATGAGACTTCCCCATCACCACCTCCTACACACCACCCCTCCACTTGCCTGAACACACCACTTTACACACAAAATACCACAAATCATGTCTCTTCTGCTTATGGACCAAAGCCATAAAACCAAAGCTCCACAAAATGTCATCACCACCCGTTGAAGAGAAAAATGATGAAAAAAAAGCACCAGATGTCATTTTTGTTGAGAAGAGGAAAATGAGGAAAAAATCCATCCTCTACTTCAAAGACAAAATGTCAAATGTGGAGAAATTTGTGGTTTGGGTGGTAGTTGGAGTGGGGTTGGGATGGATTCGCGTTAGTGATATTTGACTGTGAAATTGCCGACCCAAATGGTGGTGACTGGCGGCCGGAGAGAGAAGAAAGAGAGAGAGTGGAGTGGAGTGGAGAGGAGAGGAGAGGAGAGGAAAGAGAGATATTTACGTTTTGAAAATGAGATTGGGATGAATTGGGGGAGTTTGATTAATTGTGATGTTAATATTAATATTAAAATATATAATTGTACCCGATATATGATTAATTAAAGTTGGCACCTGAGTTTTGCACAGTAATCTTCAAATACCGGCTTTTGTGTAATTTCCCCCTATAATTTCCATATTAACTATGCCCATATGGCCATATAATTGTCGCTTTTTTAAAATTTTGTCACATTTTTTTTTTAAAATTATTATCAGAGACAACAAATGTGACCACCTGATTTTGAAAATTTCACAAATTTATTATTTTTTAAACTTTATATTGAAATATTTGTAATTATGTATTTTTTTTCTTTTCCATATTTTCCCTAATGGAAAATGTAATAGAATGGGCTCATTTTGACATATTAGGTGATTAATAAATCCCCGTTTGGGCTCCACTAAAATGAGATTCAAGGGGAAAATGTGTCTTAAAATAGTAATTTTTTGGAAAATGGTGTGTTATATTATTTTATAGGAGAACGTGTGATTGGAATGGATTTTTGAAAAATACATTTGGAAAAATGAAGCACAAACAAGGGGCTAAAAATTGTTGAATCAAATATTTAAGGAATTTAATTAATTCAAAAGTTTCAATTTCTTTATTTTTATTTTTATTGATACCATTCCCAAAATTATGATAATTTAACGATATGTTCTCTTTTTTATTACGATATGTCCTTTAACTGATAGTTATGTTATTAAAAAAGTAGTCTTGTGTAGCATTTATCAAACGAGGTCTATACGTAAAATTTAGAAAATCTACTATATTGATTCTCAATAAATTGCAAGTAGCGAAACTTTTAAAAGTAAGAAATTCTAATTGTTTTATATAAATTCTGTTCATCTATTTTATCACTTGACAAAGAGGTTGACGTGGATTAAAATTAGACCATCCGTCTTTAATTATTGAACTCTAATATTTGTTGTTTTCTAAATTGATATGGAGTAAATTGTTCTTATCAACCAAAATCTGTAAAAATAATAAAACTAAAACTAAAAATATGAATATAAAATGTTCCCCATTTACGCAGAAGCTATGGGTTCGAGCCATGTTGAGGGAGTCGCGGAGAGTCCTTTTTCAGGTCGAGGTTGACTACAATTTCTCAAGTATACATTTCAAAAATCATAGTTACTATAATAGCATATACACTCATGCCATATTCGATTTTCTCAAAATAGTAGAAACGATATAAGTAAAAATAGTAAATTGGGTTTCAACATTTATGAAAAGTAAATAACTAAATGACAATAAATTAAAGGATAATTGCAGCAAAAGCCCTAAACCTTTGAAATATCAGCAAACTTTCTCCAAACCTTTAATTTATTGCAGATGAGATGAGAACCACGTAGCAACGAACATTACGCAATCCACAACGAGATTGAAGATCCTAAGAAAACCCAAATAATAATCCCGATTTTGAGTTTGAACAAAAAATTAATGAACCAAGCAACCAAACAAAAACGAAGTTTGAATGACCTTTTGATTACACAACACGTGATTTGCACTCGGTGTTGAACGCCACAAAAATCCTCTTGATAAGTTCAGAATTTTCTAAGAAGAACAATGTTGAAAGACACAATAGCCTCTCGAATATATCTCAATATTAAATTTGTCAAAAAGTTCATACATTGAATAATGAAGTCATATTTATACTAATGGCCAACAAAACTAGTAAAAACGTAATTAGGTTACAAAATATTGTAAAATTGAAAAAAATAGAATTCTAGTATAACAAGGAAATTCGGGAAAAAATTAAAGTTCTCTCCATATTGTTCTATGCATGTTTCTGTGTAATCGCAAACCTAAAAGTACCATGCGCTCATGTAACCTTGTGTAAAATTTTGTGCCGTTTCCGGAATATACTCATGGACAAAAATCTGACAACCGAACTGAAAGTTATGCCCGTTTTCATCCATGCTGCTCGTTTGCTGCTTGAATCGAGTTGATCCATTTGGTTTCTTCTTCTGAACCCAACATGAAACTTATTCCTTGACTTGTTAACTTTGAAACTTCGTCTACCATAACTTGAGCAAGCAATCACATTGCCTTTTTCACCTGATTTGCCCTTGAACGTGTCATCGGGCCTCATTAGATAATCAACAGATTTCGTCCCGAGCTTGTCCTCATCGGGCTGACTCCTGGATCATATCATCCCCTCTATCTTCAAAAGGATTCATCTTCGAATCTGCACCTGCATCGAAAAGAGAGAGATCATACACATTAAAAGTTGCTGAAACAGACTTTCTCCAAGACTTGAAATGGATCATCCCCTCGTGGTTGCAAGTTTGATTTCCTTTGTTCTGGAAAGTGTTCCTTTTTGAGATGTACCCAAACCCAATCTCCTGGTTCAAATATCACGCTTTTCCGATTCTTGTTTGCTTACGAAGCGAAATGTTTGTTTCATGGAGAGACTTTACCAATTCAGCTTTTCTTTTACCATCTAAGCCACCTCGTTCATTTACAGAACAAAATTTCCTACTAAAATATGCACCATTTAACAATATGTCGACAAATATGTGTTCACAACTCCTTATGCATATAAAATATTTACACCAAAGATAACTAAAACTATTAGTATAGTATATATAGAAATTAATTATCAGAGCTCCTCAATTCAGTGTGGTGAATGTTGGAGTACAGAAAAAATTAAACCAGTCAAAGTCTTAAAAATGATAACAGAAAATAAGTAAAAGATTCATACATTGAATAATGAAATCCTATTTATACTAATGGCCAGAAAACCTCGTAAAAACGTAATTAGGTTACAAAATATTGTAAAATTGGAAATGAAATAGAATTCTAGTCTAACAAGGAAATTCGGAAAAAAATTAAAGTTCTCGTCAAATTGTTCTCTGCATGTTTCTGTGCAATCGCAAGTCTAAAAGTACCATGCGCTCATGTAAGCTTGTGTAAAATTTTGTGTTGTTTTCGGAATATACTCATGGACAAAAATCCGACAACAGAGCTAAAAGTTATGCTCATTTTCATCCATGCTGCTCGTTTGCTGCTTGAATCGAGTTGATCCATTTGATTTCTTCTTCTGAACTCAACATGAAACTTATTCTTTGACTTGTTAACTTTGAAATTTCGTCAACCATAACTTGAGCAAGCAATCACATTGCCTTTTTCACCCGATTTGCCCTTGAACGTGTCATCGGGCCTCATTAGATAATCAACAGATTTCGTCCCGGGTTTGTCCTCATCGGGTTCGACTCCTGGATCATATCATCCCCTCTATCTTCAAAAGGATTCATCTTCAAATCTGCACCTGCATCAAAAAGAGAGAGATCATACACATTAAAAGTTGTTGACACAGACTTTCTCCAAGACTGAAATGGATCATCCCCTCGTGGTTGCAAGTTTGATTTCCTTTGTTCTGGAAAGTGTTCCTTTTTGAGATATACCCAAACCCAATCTCCTGGTTCAAATATCACGCTTTTTCGACCCTTGTTTGCTTACGAAGCGACATGTTTGTTTCATGGAGAGACTTTACCAATTCAACTTTTCTTTTACCATCTAAACTATTTCGTTCATTCACAGGACAAAATTTTCTACTAAAATATACACCATTTAACAATATGTCGACAGATGTGTGTTCACAACTCCTTGTACACATAAGATATTTACACCAAAAATAATTGAAACTGTTAGTATAGCATATATAGAAATTAATTATCAGAGCTTCTCAACCCAGTGTGGTGGATGTTGGAATACAGAAAAAATTAAACCAGTCAAAGTCTTGAAAATGATAACAGAAAATAAGTTATAAAAATTGAAAAAAGAAATTTTTGAAACTTATTCAGAAAATCCATTAGAAAAATAGAATACAGACAAAATAAAGGAAAAAATAGAATTAATCAATCCAGACACTATAATAAGAGTCAAACCAATGAGATATAGTATGGAAGATCAAAAGGAATTTAAGAATCAAAAAAAAGAATTACTAGAATCTAAATTGATTAGGTCTAGTAAAAGTCCACATAGTAGTCCAAAAAAGAAATTTTTGAAACCTATTTAGAAAACACATTAGAAAAATGGAACACAGCTAAAATAAAGACAAAGATAGAACTAATCAATTCAGACATTACAGTAATGGTCAAACCAATGAAATATAGTGTAGAAAACCAAAAAGAATTTAAGGACCAAATAAAAGAACTACTGGAGACTAAATTAATTAGACTTAGTAAAAATCCACACACTAGCCCAGACTTTGTGATTAGAAAATATAGTGAGATGAAAAGAGGAAAAGTCAGGATAATGATGAACTATAAGAAGTTAAATGAAGTTAATAATTTTGATGAAAATACTTGCCTAATAAGGATACCTTTATTAAACAAGTACAAAACAAGAAGATATTTTCAGAATTCGATTGTAAGTTGGGTTTTTGGCAAATAGTGCTTACAGAAGAAAGTATACTAACTGCATTTAGTACCCCCAATTCTTTAGAACAATACGAATGGAATATAATGTCATTTGAGTTGAAAAATGCACCACAGATATTTCAAAGAAGAATGGATGAAGTAATCAAACCAATCACTCATTTCTGTATTGCTTATGTAGATGATTTACTTATTCATTCAAATAATATAAATGACCATATTGAACATTTTGAAAATTTTGTTATATCAAGAAAAAAACATGATATTACCCTTTCTCAAAAGAAAGTTGAGATAGCTAAAACAAAGATAAAATTTTTGGGATTATTTATAAAAGAAGAACAATTGTAATTACAATCTTATATTGGTGAAAATTTTCAAAAATTTCATGAAAAAATCAAAAATAAAAAATAGTTACAAAACTTCCTGGGTATATTAAATTATGCTTAAAGATTTATTGAGAACTGTGCCTAGTTAAAAAATTATTTTCTTCCAAAATTAAGAAAGAACGTAATATGGTATTGGGAAGAACAAGATTGCGAAAATATATGGAAGGTAAAAAATCAATTAAATGTTTTGTCTAAACTTGTAATACAACAAGAAGAACATTTCTTAGAGTACAAAAATATGAAGATTATTTACTGCCAAAAAAGTTCTTAATTAGAACTGATAACACTCAAGTTAAAGCCTTTCTAAAAAATAACGTTGATCCATCTATTGCCAATAAATATATTATTAGAATCCAAATTTGGTTTTCTTATTTCAAATTTTGATGCAGGACGTGGATGTACACACCAACGTGGCAGCTGCATGTCTCAACAATTTGTCAGCCAATCAACAAGCCTAATTCCAGGCCTGCATTCTACCTAATTATTGCCCAGATTACGACGTCAAGGATCTTCCCCCTTTTTACAATTATTTAAGTTGATTTGATTCCAAATTATTTGTTTCCTTTTATTTCCTTTGTTTCCATTTTGTTAATTGCTTTCCTATAGTATAAGATTGGCTATCATTGTACCCAACGGGATCATTGTGAACTTGAATAAGAATTATTGTGCTTAGCTTTCAGTAAATCTCTCCCCTACGGAAGACACAGCTCTTCCTTTTATTTACTTTACTGTTTCTTTTTACAATTGCCGTTCATTTACACGTCTTCCGCTACGCCAATTTGGCATCAGAGCAAGGTTACGCCTGGCTCGATGGCACGACAGGAAGGCAATTTCAATGATGCTGAACGTGGAATACCAGCCCTGTGGGCTGCTGTCCAAACACAAAACCAAAGATTCGAAGGGATCGAAAAATTGCTGCAAGAGATTCAACGAACTATTGCTAATGTTAATGTTGGAGGCAATGGAAACCATGTAAACAGAAGAGATCAGGAGGAAGAGAACCTGAACCAACCAAGAGGAAACAACAATCTCATGCGTCGACAGCGGAATCAAGCAATAGATGATTCTTCTAGCGATGAGGAGGTGGAAGACTTCGCTAGGAACCTTGATGCCAGGAGAGTTCCTGACAACAGCCACAACTTCAAAATTAAGATTGACTTGCCTTGTTTCAACGGCCATCTCCACGTTGAAAGTTTCCTCGACTGGATGCTAGAGGTGGAGAATTTTTTTGACTACATGCAAATACCCGAAGCGCAACAAGTGAAGCTAGTGGCCTATAAGCTGCGTGGTGGTGCTTCAGCATGGTGGGAACAAATGCAAAACAACCGAAGAAGGCAAGGCAAACAACCGGTGCGCGTGTGGCCCAAAATGAAGCGACTAATGAGGGCGAGATTTCTTCCTCCGGACTATGAACAGATTCTTTATCAGCAATACCAAAATTGCAAACAAGGAGCAAGGACAGTGAACGAGTACACAGAAGAATTTTATCGACTCAATGCTCGCAATAATCTATCGGAAACGGAAGGACAGCAGATTGCAAGGTTTGTGGGAGGCTTGCGTGTTGCTGTACAAGACAAAGTGTCTCTGCACACTGTGTGGTCTCTGGCAGAAGCTGTAAACTTGGCCATGAAGATTGAGATGCAATTGGACAGACCACCACCCAGGTTACTGAATCAAACTCCACAACAAAAACCTTACACCCCGCCTCAACAGCCCATGGACACTCGACCGCCACCACAGAGTAAATTTTCGAGAGGAGAAAGCGGCAACCAACAGTCGAAAGCCCCTGCACATAAGGAAGGAGGAAGCAATAACCCGTATGCTCGCCCAATGACTGGAAAATGTTTCAGGTGCAACCAACCGGGGCATAAATCCAATGAATGCCTCGCACGCTGTTCAGTCCACGTGATTGAAGAAGGGGACGACGAACCAGGAGAATTTGATAGCGGTGAAGAGGGTGAGGTAGAGGAATTGGTGGAAGGGGACGAGGGTGAGATGGTGAACTGTGTGATTCAACGTCTCTTATTGACGCCTAAGCATGAAGGCAAGACTCAAAGACACGAGATCTTCAAGACCCGCTGCACTATTAACAACAAGGTGTGCAACTTAATAATTGATAGTGGTAGCTGTGAAAACATAGTTTCAAAGGCCCTCGTAACAACACTGCAATTGAAGACAGAGAAGCACCCTCATCCTTACAAGATCAGTTGGATCCAAAAAGGGGCGGAGGCACGAGTGTCTACTTTGTGTCGAGTTCCTTTTTCCATTGGAAAGTTTTATAAAGATGAAGCCACTTGTGATATTGTGGAGATGGATGCCTGCCATTTGTTACTTGGGCGACCATGGCAATTTGATACAAATGCAACGTATAAAAGGCGTGACAATGTGTACTCATTTTGGTGGCATGAAAGAAAAATTTTGCTGGTACCCATGACGGCTAAGAGCTCAGATCCTATAGCTATGGTGAGAAAACAATCTTTTCTGACCGTGACTGAAGATCAATTTATGAGAGATATTAAAGAGGCTGGGGAAGTATGGTCACTAGTTGTAAAAGAAGAGCAGAATACCGAAGTGCTTGAAGTTCCTCCACAAGTGCAACACTTACTAGATGAGTTTGAGGGGCTCGCTCCACAAGAATTACCCGAAGGCCTTCCTCCCATGTGAGAAATACAACACCAAATCGACTTAGTTCCAGGGGCAAGTCTACCTAATCTTCCACATTACCGCATGAGCCCTAAGGAAAATCAGATCCTACAAGACCAGGTTGAAGACCTTATTCGTAAGGGTCTGATTCGAGAAAGCATGAGCCCCTGTGCCGTACCAGCCTTACTCACACCGAAGAAAGACGGGACTTGGAGAATGTGCGTGGACAGCCGAGCTATTAACAAAATTACGGTGAAATACAGGTTCCCCATTCCTAGACTACATGACATGTTGGATATGCTTGCAGGTTCAAAAATCTTCTCCAAAATTGATTTGCGCAGTGGATATCATCAAGTTAGAATTCGGCCTGGTGACGAGTGGAAGACCACATTCAAAACCAAGGAAGGACTATATGAATGGCTAGTAATGCCATTTGGCCTCTCCAACGCTCCTAGCACCTTCATGCGCATCATGCATCAAGTCCTCAAGGCCTTTATAGGGAAATTCGTCGTTGTTTATTTTAACGACATCCTCCTCTATAGCCAGGATGAACAACAACACATTGGTCACTTACGGGAGGTAATATCAGTCCTACACAGTAATAAGTTGTATATTAATCTAAAGAAATGCAACTTCTTCACGACCAGGTTGTTATTCCTTGGTTTTGTAGTAAGCGCGGAAGGCATTCATGTGGATCAAGAGAAGGTCCGTGCCATTCGAGATTGGCCGAATCCCACCACCGTCACTCAAGTTCGAAGTTTTCACGGATTGGCAACTTTTTACCGACGTTTCATCCGAGATTTCAGCACTATTGCTGCACCCCTCACGGAGTGCATGAAGAAAGGGAGGTTCCAATGGGGAGAAGACCAGGAAACCAGCTTCAAAACTTTAAAAGAAAAATTGTCCACCGCACCTATACTCGCCTTGCCCAATTTTGAAACATTGTTTGAAGTTGAGTGCGATGCTTCTGTGATCGGCATTGGAGCTGTTCTCTCTCAAGAAGGGAAGCCCGTTGAGTTCTTTAGTGAAAAGTTGAATGAAGCAAGGAGAAAATGGACTGCTTATGAGCTGGAATTTTATGCCATAGTCCGATCTTTAAAGCATAGGGAGCATTACTTAATCCAACGGGAGTTTGTGCTGTACAGTGACCACCAAGCTTTGAAATTCATCAACACTCAGAGCCATTTAAACCGAATGCATGCCCGCTGGATCACTTTCATACAGAAATTCACAATAGTGCTGAAACATAAGTCTGGTAAGCAAAACAGGGTGGCTGATGCTTTGAGCCGCCGTGCACAATTACTTGCAACATTGCAGGTGGAGGTTACAGGTTTTGAACAACTGAAAGAAGTATATGCAGAAGATGAGGATTTTGCTGACATATGGGACAAGTGCATTACACGACAACCAGCGGCTGACTTCCATATCCAAGATGGGTTCCTTTTCCGTGGCACCCAACTATGTATTCCCCGGTCTTCTTTACGGGAATATATCTTACGTGATCTGCATGGCGGTGGCTTAGGTGGTCATGTAGGGCGAGACAAAACCATCTCCCTCGTAGCTGAGCGTTATTTTTGGCCCCAACTCAGACGTGACGTGGGTCGTTTTGTTCAAAGGTGCCCTGTATGCTAAGTGAGCAAAGGACAAGCACAAAACACTGGATTGTATACTCCACTCCCAGTTCCAGAAAATATATGGGAAGACTTGAGCATGGATTTTGTGCTTGGTCTTCCACGAACTCAAAGGGGTGTGGACTCGGTTTTTGTCGTTGTTGATCGATTCTCTAAAATGGCACATTTTATTCCTTGTCGAAAGACAGCGGATGCCTCCAATGTAGCCAATCTATTCTTCAAGGAAGTTGTACGTCTTCATGGAGTACCAAAATCAATAATCTCTGACAGGGACATCAAGTTTTTAAGTCATTTTTGGGTGACCCTCTGGAAGAAGTTCGACACCTCCCTCAAGTATAGCTCCACTTGCCACCCCCAGACAGATGGCCAAACGGAAGTGACCAACCGTACACTGGGTAACATGATCCGTTGCATCTCCGGAGATAAGCCAAAGCAGTGGGACGTTGCTCTTCCACATGTGGAGTTTGCTTTCAATAATATGTGCAATCGTTCCACTGGGAAGACTCCTTTTGAGATTGTGTATACCAGTCCACCAAAGCATACTTTGGACCTTGTCCCCCTTCCCAAACTTCCTGGCTTAAGTGTAGCAGCTGAACATATGGCCGAGCGCATCCAACAATTGCATTCAGAAGTGCGCAAGAATCTGGAAAATGCTAATGAACGTTATAAAGCCTCAGCTGATAAGCACCGACGTGTCAAAATTTTTCAAGAGGGAGACTTAGTGATGGTGCACCTTCGCAAGTCACGATTTCCTGCAGGCACCTATGGGAAGTTGAAGAACAAGAAATATGGGCCTTTCCGAATTTTGAAAAAAATTAATGATAATGCATATGTGGTTGAGCTACCTGGGGACATGTCCATTTCCCCTACTTTCAATGTGGCAGACTTGTTTGAATATTATCCACCGGATGAGAAGCTTAATGCTAGTGCAAACTCAGAGGCGAGTTTTTTTCTAAGTGGCGGGGAATTGATGCAGGACGTGGATGTACACACCAACGTGGCAGCTGCATGTCTCAACAATTTGTCAGCCAATCAACAAGCCTAATTCCAGCCCTGCATTATGCCTAATTATTCCCCAGATTACGACGTCAAGGATCTTCCCCCTTTTTACAATTATTTAAGTTGATTTGATTCCAAATTATTTGTTTCCTTTTATTTCCTTTGTTTCCATTTTGTTAATTGCTTTCCTATAGTATAAGATTCGCTATCATTGTACCCAACAGGATCATTGTGAACTTGAATAAGAA